CTTAGTGAGCAGGGTGAAGGAGTGTGCAAACCAGCAGCTCTGTTCACATTACATTCATTTGGCATTTGCTTTTTCAAATGCAATAAATTCAATGTGTTTCTGACAAATGTGACTCTTGGAAATTGAAGCTAAATGAAATTATTAAGTAAAATTAAATGTCTGTTTCACTGCTGACCCCTCCACAGCAGTACATTGCTGAGCTTCCATGTCGGTATTCCTGCTTCTCTTAACCCAGGACACACTGACTGAAATCACTGCTGAGTAACTCAGTGACTCTGGATGAGGACCTCATATGACCCCAATTCAAAAATCCGAACCATCTCTTGAAGGTGTGACAAAAATTTGCATGCTTTGAAAATGTAATAGCTTATGATTCATCAGGGTAGTTCCTCATTAACAGCCGCAAGCCTGGATGTGTCACCATGAGAGCTTATCTTCTTTTGGCTGCACATATATCAATAACAACAATATTTGATTTTTAATATTTAATTTATTTAATGATAAAAAATGTCAGCATCGTTATGTATTGCTCTCAATAACTTGGATTGATAATGCCTGCAGTGAAAAGTTGATTATCTGACTCCCTTTCAGTTGATGTAGGATTATTTTTTAATGTAACATGTTGATATGTTCCCTGACTAAGTGTCTCACAGGTACACATTGTTAGCTGTGCACTCAAGTTACTTGTTTCTTTAAATCATAGTGCTGCAGAGATGTAAGTCACGATAATTTTCTTTCATTAGTCAGTCTAGGTAGATCAATGTTGCATTAAGTAAACATCCTTGTTTACCAAGTCTTCTATGAGTACCTGTTCTCTCAACCCATTAGCCTGAGAAAGATTTGACTTGAGGATGTGTGCTGTGTGGTACCGCCTTGCCCAAAGGCACTGTGTCACACTGGGAATGTTTGTCTGTGACTCTGTGTGTCGATCTCTGCTTCCAGTTGCCACGTTTGGCCGCTCTGTCATCACAACACTGCTATGATGTTTCTGTGAGACCTTTATCTTGCACGTCCTGGTTAAATACTCAGGGTTGGGAAGCAAACTGGGAGCAGGATGTGGCTACGGCCTGCGCGTATGAAGGCGATAGGCTTCTCACACAGCTGCTTGATTGATGGGATACAGCTGAATGGGTGGTGCTGCCACAGGTCAAGGTGGAGACAGGATTTGCATACATACCCTTAGTTTGATAAATAAATACCAAACACAATGTGGTGGATGCCATCAGTTTGTACAGAGAAACCTTGTGTAATTATCGTGTTGTTAGTTTCCCAGCAGAACTAAGAGACAATTTGCTTTGCATGTCATTCAAATTCTAATCCTAACAAACATGGTACTGCAAAATGTCAAGTTACGTTGTAGGTTTTTATGTGTCCAGGGTTGAGCCCGGTGCATAATGATCCCAGGATTTATCACAGCTGCAACCAGAAGTCTTCTGAGCTAAAACACAGCTGTAAAAACCAATCAGTGTATTGCTGAAGTTCTATTAAAGTAAGGTTATAGTTTACTTGTAGTTATTATATCATTGTGATGTAACATTTCCTAAAAAATAATTAACATACAACTGTTAATTCTTTCAAAAAGGTCCTGTAAAATATATTTGGTTCACATCTTCATTGTTCATTCTGAACATATTGATTTAATTTAAATGACATCCTACCATAATCTAGGCCCAGGGGCCCAAAGTGTCAGGGGCCCCTGGGCCTTCACTTGCAAAATGTCACTCAAATGAATGTGTACGGACCACAGAGAGATTCAAAACAACCTCAAAGAGACACAAAATGACAAAAAAAGACATTAAATGATCTCAGAAAGACACAAAATGACTGGAAAATAAACAAAATGTTGTCAAAGAGACACAAAATGACCAAAACAACTACTGTAAAAAACTCAGAGACAATAAATAACTGAAAAACCCCACAAAACAGCCACACAAAATAACAAAAAAAACAATTAAAGAAAACAACCACACAGAGCAACCAAATAACCAAAGAAGACACAACATTCCCTCAGAGTAAAAAAGAAAATGGCCGAAAACCCTGCAAAACAATCACAGAGACACAAAATGACCAAAACAACTACTGTAACAACCTCAAAGAGACAAAAAATACCTGAAAAAACACACAAAACGACCAAAAAAGACGTAAAAATTATCTCAAAGAGACACAAAACAACCAAAAAACCCACAAAATAGCCACAAAGAGATTCAAAATAAAAGAAGACAACCACGAAGAGCAACCACATGACCAAAAAAGACACAAAATTCCCTCAGAGTATAAAAAACATGGCCAAAAACCCTGTAAAACAATCACAGAGACACAAAATGACCACAAAGAAACATTTTTAAAAAAACAACAAAAAAAACCCAGGAGAAAGCACCACTGAGTCTGTGGTGGTTGTGCCTTTTGCATATCTGTGCTCAGCGGCCCAAGAACTGTGCAAGGGTGTCACTATGGCTTAAAAAGTATAACATGGGGGCTTTTGAAAGATCTTTAACATACATGATATGGATGGATATGAGGTCAGAGTAGATCATGATGTCGGGTAGAAAGTTGCATCAAGAGGACATAGCCTGGGCTGTTACAGAGTGTGTAGGTAATCAGTGGGGGGTTGGGGGGTTAGGGTCTTTTAAATGTATCAGTTTATGGTGGACATATCTGTATTTATTGTAAAGGAAAATATAAATTTCAGGCGCCAGGTGAAAACTCAAAATACAATGGAATAAAATGCAGTAAAGCTCTCAGACATTTGTTACTGCTTTCAAGTATTTATTCTCCTGTAGATCTGCTTTTCTTAATTTCACACATCATATGATTTACTCCTCAGTCCTCTTTTGTTTGGGGAGGTAACTTTTGTAAATGTGCATGTGGCACATGTTCAATGGGAGATACATAATTTTAATTAATTAACTTATAACCCCCTGCACATTCAAATCTTTATGAGTTGTTCACAGAGAGAGAATGAAAGAAACTGTGTTAAGAATTTGTTTAAGTTTCAAAATTGGTGGACGTTTTTGTGACATTGTAGAATTGGTAGGCTGGGGGGGGAGAGGGTGAGAAAGAGAGAGGAGGACATGCAGCAAAGGGCCACAGGCAAGAAACGAGCCTGTGGCTGATGCGGAAAGGACATTGCCTTCGTATATGGGACGTCTGATCGACCCACTAAGCCACCAGGCGCCCTGTTATTTGGAATATTTTTAACATTTTATGGTAAAAAAAAAGTGATGTGTACAGAATCAGCCATTTGGGGACATCTTAAAGGATAACTTCGGTATTTTTCAACCTGGGCCCTTTTTCCCCATGTGTATGTGTGCGTATGATTCATGGGTACAACTCGTTCTAAAATTGGTTCAGTATTGAGGGAGCTGGCAGAAAACAGAGCCGTGCTGAGCGCCACTCAGAGTGGAGCTGGTTGTCCCGGAGTACAGTTGAGAGTTTTACTGCATTGATTGAAAACAATGGTTCGTGTTTGTGCTTATCTGAATTGCAAGAACAGGATGTCACGTAACACCCCGTACAGCTTTCATAGGCTGCCTTTGTCAGACGGCGAGATGCTGAAGTAGAGGTTAGTTGTGCTACAAATGGATGCTAACACTTCTGTCCAGACACTGCGCCTTGTAGATCATCGGGTCTGCAGTGCTCACTTCTCCCAAGATGACTACTGCCAGCCGAAGAAGAGAAGACATCCAATCCTGAAACACCTCTTCCTCAAGAAAACGGCTGTCCTACGAGTAGAGAGAGCTACAGACACAGTGGAGCAAAGCTCTCGCGAGATGACGTCACACAGCCCAGAGGTAAGGGAAACGTTTACTATGCTATTTACAGAGATAGCACTGGCGATCTGAACCGGTCAGCGGCAGAAAAAAAAAGCACTTTTAATGCACAAACTTATACGGGACAAATTAGCCCCCGTTACCGTTTTAGCTCATTTAGCGGCTCCTGGCTGCATCCGCCTCCCTCAATACTGAACCAATTTTAGAACGAGTTGTACCTATGAATCATACGCACACATGGGGGAATAGGGCCCAGGTTGAAAAATACCAAAGTTGTCCTTTAAGTGCTGTATCGTTGTCATCACTTGAGTCTCGTGAAGACGTTTTACCTCTCATCCAAGAGGCTTTTAGCTCTGATGGACTGGAGCAGAGTCGCAGGCTTTAAACTCCGTGTGGGTGTGAACCCTTACAGGGTCATTAAGGTCACATGTGAGTCGTTGACCCACCCGGCCATCTTGTGTGTCGTGTGTATGTAGTGTAGTGTTTGGAGTTCAGTGCAGCCAGGAGCGCACACATTTGTACACTGGTGAAACCAAACAACCACTCCACAAGCGCATGGTCGAGACTCAGCTGTCCATTTACATCTGAAGGAGAAGGGACATTCTTTCAAGGACAGCCATGTCCTCGTCTTGGCCAGAGAAGACAGAGGGTTTGAAAGAGGCGTGAAAGAAGCCATCTCCGTCAAACTGGAACTACCTTTGTTAAACAAAGGAGGTGGCCTACGACACCATTTGTAACCTTGACACCCATTCACACCTGGACCCATCTAAGCCTAAGGACACACAAGATGGCCTCACGTGTGACCTTGATGACTCCATAAAGGTTCACACCCACGCAGACTATAAAGCCTGCGACTCCGCACCAGTCTGTCTCATGGAGAGGTGAGAGGTGAAACTCAAGCAAATCCAGTTGCCTACGGTATAGCACTTAAGATGACCATGACCTGGATGACCGAGAATCTTCACTGACATTTAGGGACATGTTCCCAGTGTTCCCAGTGTAAATAACACCTGTGCAGACAAGAACGTGACATCACACAGCCTGGGAGAACGCTTCCTCAGGAGCTGACATGACAGCCAAGAATGTATTTTAAACATAGTAAAACTGTTCGTGATGTAGATGTTTGTTTTTTATTTTTCATTGTATTTTATTTCAAAGAAAAGACACACACTCACACATACACACTAACACACACTGTGGATGCAGTAAGAAAGCACAAACACAGACAGCTTGCAGCAGTATGATCTTTATTAATCAGATCTTTGAAGGTTTAAATCTTACCAAGCTTAAACTACGTGCTCTAATACATCAGACATAAATAGAGGAATTATGTATGCAGATGACACTGATTCATTTCTGACTGTTGAGTTACGGTCCTATAAATGCACGCTCATTACATTATTAAGTGTTTCCTGGTTCTCGCCTTATCTCCTGCTTCGACTGGACTTGGGAGCGGCTGCCTTTTCGCTGCGGCCAGTCACATAGCAGTCTGTCTTGAGGCATGCGCAGGAGTCGATGTGGGTGTAGGTGAAGGTGATCTCTGAGCTGTCAGAGCAGGTGAGCTGGACCTGCCGCTCCGATGTGGCCACCTCCTGGCAGCAGGAGCAGGTGTGCTGCAACGACCTGGCTTTGGCTGAGAAGCTGACAGAGGAGAGAGTGAAGGAAGGGAGGAGAGGAAGAAATTTAGTTCAAGAAGAAATTTAAGACTACATAACTACCAAGTTTAGAAAGCTAGATATAAGATATAAGCGTCACTTTTTCAGTCCAATCACCAGAGGAAAACCAACTTTGTCATCTAAGACACTTGCCAAGCTGCAGACCACTGTTCAAGACCAACAAACAACAAAACCAGTTGTTTTTTAGTGAGGCATTAGTGTGTTTCCAGCGGCTTTTAAGCCCCCAAGTTCGGAGGTTTTCAAGCACCAAGTGGCTCTTTCTCCACTGGCTGTGTAGCCACCAAACGTCGGTCTTTCATTAGTGACTTGTGGCTCTTTTCCACCAGCTTTCAAAGTCCCAAACATTGGTCCTTTTTAGCGACCCACTGCTCCTTTCCACTGGCTTTTTAGCCCCAAACACGGGTGTTTCGTAAGCAGCCCCTGGGTTTTTTCCAGCAGCTTTTTAGCCCACAAATGTAGGTATTTTTTTTCACGACCTGTGGCCATTTTTCCACCGGCTTTTAAGCCCCAAATGTGGATTTTCTTTTAGGGACCCATTGTTCTTTTCCCAGCAGCTTTTCAGCCCCTAAATGTGGGTGTTCTTTAGCAACCTGTGGCTCTTTCCCCGGCAGCTTCCAAACCCCTGAACACAGATCTTTTTTAGTGACCCATATCTATTTTCCAGCAGCTTTTTAGCTCCCAAACATGGATCTTTTTTAGCCATCCATATCTCTCTTAAGCAGCTTTTCAGCCCCAAAATGTAGGTGTTTTTTAGCAACATGTGGCTCATTTTCCGGCGGCTTTTTACCCCCCAAACATGGATGTTTTTTAGCAACCCATATTATTTTTTTCCAGCAGGGATAGTGCCACGAAAAGCAGATGTTTCTTACAGAGACATTGCTGCTTTTCCAGCGGGCACTGTGTCCCTAAAGGTGATTTAAGCTTATATATGATCTTTTCCTGACTAGTTGTTTTTGTACTTGAACCCAACCATATTTGAACCATGGTTTCAACATATCCACTCCATAATAACATGTAAATGCAACGTGTCCATGATTGGCAAACAATGCCAAGATTTTTTCAAGCAATGGGTTGAACTTTTTTCAGTCTATTATTTCAGTTTTAATAATTTATGATTATTTAAAGGGCATTTCAACCGTTTTACACTTAATGATCAGTTCAGTACTCATGGTTAGTACTACTGAGCCTGTGAAAACTCTTTAAGATTATGAGCATTCTTTTTATGTCTCTTATCTTGTCTCTCCTACGCTCAACAGAAATGTTCCATAATGTGATAAAAATCACAAGAGGAGATAGTAAGATTTTTCCATGACTGATTATAGGAAAAAACGACAAGAGGGGGACTCACAAGGTGAAGGTGCCGCATGCTCCATTACAGCTTGTGACATTGATCAGGTCCTTAGACAGGCAGCCCTGGTTCTCCAGTTGAACAGTCGTAGTGGACACACTGCACGGCTGACCCTTCGGAATACCTGAGGCAGATGGGAGAAACATGTTGAGAGGGAATAACGTCTCATCTGACCTGTTTATAACAAAGCATCTGTGGATGAAAAAAATAACGGTGGTGCAGTTTTTTGGATGCATATCATGATGTAGAAATTTACCTTTGTGCAATTTTGTGTTTGTTTTGAGAAGTGAAATAAATGTAACTGCAATTTAGGAGAAAGCATGCCGAACTCCAGAATCATTTTTTGTAAAGATGGGTTTTATATCTGTCCTTCTGTATGAAGCCTCGAGACATGTGACTGCTCAAATCACTGAGGATGCCATTAATGTGTCTTGTGCTGTCACGAATAGATGCACTCTTCATTCTGTGTGGTGATACAGTTGGCGTGTGTAGTTTGATAGAAAGACAATAGTTCCTACATGAATTATCTCGAGTAACTGTGTCATGATTTCTGGAAAGAGACGTTGCTGTTGAATTTTTCAGATGTAATTTTTTGGCGATTTAAACAAGTATCATCTAGTTCCATTATATTGGAGAGAAGGCAGACATCTCACACCAAAGTTGTCTAGACTGATAGATAGCACTGCAGGTGAGAGGAGAAATATGTGCTTTAAATTTTGGAGCGAGCCCTTCCTTTAAGTGCTCTGGATCAATACCAATAAAAACAATAAACCGATGATGCACTGAGTGTAGTCTCATCCAGTTAATCATAAGATATGTGGTACTAATCTCTATAAGGCCTGTAAATGAAATGTATTCCAGATACCTTCATTATTCTGTCTTTTGTGAACATAAAAAATCGTCATTATGATTACATGACTTAATAAAGATCCATTCATTGTGGGTGAAAGGTCAGACGCTCCCATAGACATCATGAAGCTTTGTGTAACCAGAGAGGAGAGTTAAGACATGCAGGTGTGATACGTACAGACATGACAGCATCCGTCTGGAGCTACGGTCTCTGTTCCCTGCAGGACACAAACACACATTCACATCAGTGCACTGTTGGGTCATGTTTCATTTTGGAGAGTCACAGTGGACAGTAGGTGGCACTGCATCCTAGCACATGTTAACCTTAGTACAATTTGCCTTCGTAATGATTTAGATGTTCACCTATTATTTGTATTTTTCTTGGTGTTTTTTATTTTTTGCACTGTTTTTACTTTTAATCACCTCCTGCTGGACTGTAAGTTACTGGCTATGTTTGCCTCATTCACAATCTGCAGTTGTATTTGTTTTGTTCATATATTTATCCTCAATTTGTGTTTTATATCAGGGTTTCTACAGCTCAAGGCAAATTGGATTTTTTAATCCCACTACAGTGACCAGTGTTACAACTAGAGCTGCCCCCTAATAGTTGACCAAATGTAAGTCGACCAGAAGGGTCATTGGTCGGCAAAATTTCATTGGTCACTTAGTTGCAAAAAAAAAAAAACAACCATGAAACTCTATCAGGAGCTGCGCCTTGTCAAAATAAATCCAAACCTATATGACTGGACCATGTGGGACTTTACTTTAAAAGGACAGATACAGGAAGTGTCCACGCTCAGCAGTCAGACAGGAGTCAGGTTAATCTCCAGGGCTGGTACCTGCGGTTATTCCACAGGCTAGTTAATAACATGTCGGGCAGGAAATCCAAAATGTGGGATCATTTTGAGAAGGTGAAGGACGAACCCAAGGTGATATGTAAACTCATCTTCATTGGTCGACTACAAACATGACGTATCATCTGAAACATGGAAGTAGCTACATGCCCATTAGCCCACAGCGTCATTAACAGGCGGCTCGCTCAGTGTGTGACGTGCACTTGGAGATAAAATATAGGCCTATATTAATGAAGGTTCATTAGTACGGTTTTGTATTTCTCTGTAATGTAGCACAGTGTTAACAATGTTACTGATACTATTCTTTCTCACACCTTCATTCAAACCACCAAAATATATCATTTAATCATTACATTCATATCAGAAACATGCAGGAGACTAGTCCACTGATGGACCTAAACGACTAATGGTCGACCAACGTACAAAATCTGAGTGCTGTTGGTTCCATTATCCTGATTTGTATGAGACATTTGGTAAATAATTTAAGAAAAAGAAAATGTTACAAATTATTTTGAGATTTTACAGTGCAACATCAGAAAAAAAAAATCTAAAGTTTTATACCAATTAAGGCTGATTTTTTAGGTTTATTAATTGAATGACTTGCAAGACATTTTACCGATTTGCAGGAACCCTGCATATTAGTTTAAGTTTAAGTTTATTTCCTTTATTAATCCCCCTGAGGGGAAATTCAATGTTTTCACTCTTGCTTGTCAATTACACACAGGTCTGAAAGACACACATGCACAAACAGGACCTGAGGGGGCTGCCCTTTGGTCAGGCGCCCGAGCGGTTGGGGGGTTCGGTGCCTTGCTCAGGGGCAACTCGGCAGTGCCCAGGAGGTGAACTTGCACCTCTCCAGCCAGTCCTCGCTCCATATTTTGGTCCGGACGGGGACTCGAACAGGCGACCCTCCGGTTCCCAACCCAAGTCCCTATGGACTGAGCTACTGCCGCCCCAATTATTATTATCCATAGTAATCGTTATTCCTGCACTGTTCTTACATTTTTTTTACATTTTACATGGTTTTATTCTTATGTTTATACTTTCTGTGTGTGTGTGTGTGTGTGTGTGTGTGCAGTCACCGGTATGCATTCTTTAGTATCGAAGGGAGGACAGACGGTCTTGGACTCGATGGTGATGAACTGATTACCAATCTTCACACACTCGTACCTCAGACAGGGCTTTCCAGGAGGAGTCCAGATGGTGTCAGGCTGAAGAAGAACACAACAGAGGTTTGGAACAAAGTCTCTCAGGCAGGACTGCATGAGAGTCACTATCGTCCCCATAATGTGTGTGTGAACTGTTCTCGTGTGGGCTTTTATAGCCTTTGAGCCATTTTGCCTCCCTGCTGCCTCGTCTGATATGTTTTTCTATTTGTTAGTGCATCAAATGAAAATACACTCTTGTTGAGTCCAGTGAAACTTGAGGAAACTTAAAGGGACATCACATCACAAACAATTTCTTGCTGAACATTTTTCCAAAACAAAACGTAGCTGACATTTGTGAATTACATTTGTCTCTATTTCGGGCAGCTTTTGGTCGATAATCATTTCACTACAGAATTAAAATCAACATGTTGAGACCTTAAACTTGATTATGAAGAAAGTTTATCCATCACATCACCCTCAGACTGATTTGAAAACTCTGCACTGCCTCATCATCTTCATTTAAAACAATATAAGCAGAAACTATTCTCCGTTCTAATGAAGCAGTAACACTGCCTGATCTAATTCTGTCATTGCTGCCACACCTCCTGGTGGATGAGCACCAAAAGGATTTTGTTCCAACTGCAGAATGTCCTCAACTGCACAACCAGTGGCTTGTTTTATTTTGAGCTGTCATCATCGTGTCAAAGTTGCCAGAAGAAAATGTTGGCATTGTATGTTTCTGCATACCATGCACACATTGCATTTGAACGTCTCATACGTATCAGTGTTTCTAAAGTGATGTAGTTTATGAGCTGACTTTGTCATCCTTAGGTGGAGGGGACCAATGATTAAGCATGTCACTGCTGTGTTTCCAGCTGCGTTTTAGACCCCAAATATAGGTGTTCTGGTGCAATCTACAGCTGTTATTTCAGTGGCTTTTTAGGCATGAAAAGTGTTTGTTTTTTACCAATACATTGCTGATTTTCCTGCCGGGTGTTGGCATGAGAAGCAGTTGTTTTTTACTGACAGTCCCTGCTTTTCCTGCTGGGATTGTGGCCCAAAAAAAGTTTTTTTTTAAGCCAAAACATGTTGCAGTTTTGTCACATCAGCTATATAATAACGGGCAAATGTAACGTATGCATGGTTTGCAGAAATGTACAATGTCAAGGTTTTTTCTGGTGATTGGGTTTAATAATAATGCATCAGATTTATATAGCGTTTCCCAGGACACTCAAAGTCACTTTACAGTGCTGAAAATGTCAATGATATGGGTTTATGCCATGTTAAGCTGAAACAGCAGAAAAGCACAAACAAAAAATGAGCACAGTGACCTGGTGGCATCATATAAAATACAGCAGATATGTTGGAGACCTTTATAGATGTATCAAATCTAATCCCCTCCTCTTTTCACTTACACACACAAACAGACGTATACAAACCTTTATTGAGTGTGTGATGTTTGAGTTTGGCGGCACGACAGTGCAGTTCTTCTGGATACACGTCCCACAGCACTGTCCAGGGATGGTCTCGTACTTAAAACCCTGAACAGAGACACAAAGACAAACTCAGCATACAAACAAAATATAAAAACATAAAACTGGGATCTGATCTGATCAATCTTTTATTGTCTTTAAATGTACAGTATGTTAATGTCAGAATATGGATTCAGGGTTAACATGAGTATCCTGTTGGGTTTACAGTATGGCTTTTATTTTCGTTACCTCTGTTATTTATTTCCAGTGGCAGTATAGTCGCAAAACTAAAGATGAGGCAAATACAGAAAACGTCTAAGAATAATAACGTGTGTGGTCGAAAGACAAATTTGTATCCAAACAGTTGTTCAATCTCCACAGCCCTGCATCTGTGCGAGAGAAAGGTCTGGAGGCACACATCATTATTCTGCTACAGGGAAAAAAGTGCTGTGGCTGGTTTGTATTTCTTTAAACCAATCACGATCATCTTGGGCGGTGCTAAGCCCAGTGATGGTGCCCTTGCAAAATAGTGTCTTGTTCTGGTGGAACATTTGCACATGGGGTGTCGAGCACTGTCATTAAAATGGCTCCACAAAAGAAAACACCACATAAAACAGTAACAGGTGTACGTTCACTGCGTGAGTCAACGTTTAGTGATAAAAAAGACAAACGTGATTTGGTAATCGGAGCCTTAGAGGTGAAGCCTGACTGTGCTTTAGCTTTGGAGGAGCCCACTGGACCCATCAAAACCACAGATGATCTGCTAGCTGGATGTGGCTGTCGCAGAAGATAATTAAGACAATATTACAGCAGCTCATGTGAAGTGGAATGGATCGCTACATTGGTGAAGTCAGTGTCACTGCCAGACTTAAAAGATGTGGCAATTAAACTCTGACTGACAACTTCTCCATCGATCACACTCACCATTTTTTCCTTACTCACCCTCAAAATCTTGTTTGCACCAAGATTATTTTACCAAACTTAAAACTGAAAATTAAAACTGTAAAAAAACATTTTCTTAAACTGAAATAAAGCAAACTAACTAATTGAAAACAAAAATTAAATAAAAATAAAACCTTAAAGATAATACACGACTATGTTAACACTGGTTTGCACTCACTCTCGTATCTGAGTTTGTAAAATTATCCCTGTGCTCTTTTGTACCCGGTATGGGGCAGCTGTTGCTCATATGGTAGTGCAGGTCGTCCATTAAGAAGAGAAGCAGCTTGATCCCCGGCTTCTCCAGATACTGAACTCAAAATTGCTCCGGACGGCTGCTCCATCAGTGTGAGTGTGTGTGTGTGTTTAAAACTGAGTAGCAGGTGGCCCCTTGTATGGCAGCCCCGGCCAACAGTGTGTGAATGTGACTTGTAGTGTAAAAAGCGCTTTGAGTGCACAGAAGACAAGAAAGGTGCTTTACAAGTGCAGGTCCATAGTGTTATCCTTGGTGTGTTATGCTGTTATTTGCTCATTCAGTATCAAGTTAAGAAGGGGAAACATACAATTAAACAGGCAATAAAAGCAGAATGGGAAAAGAGCGCTGCAAATCACTTTTCGTGGTCGTAAATGCCGTCTAGAATGTTGAGAAAAATCCATAAATGTGTAGGAGAGAGCGTGAATGAAGGTGCTCATCAGTGAAGTCACAAAGACCAAACTGTGCTGTACATTAGACTAACTTAAAAGATAAAGGTATGTGATCTTACCACAGGGCAGAAGGTGTCACATGGTAAAGACTGACACACTGCTATGTGCAGATGGGTGCTGGGGTCTTTGTTGGGGCCACAAACGCACTTTTCGCATGGCTTCATGGGTATCACGTCTCCAACCTGGGTGAACAGGGTGAGAGGGTGAGCACAGATACAGGCACTGATGCATGTAGACATTAGAATCCTCTCCGTGTAAATCAGTCCAGCTCAGCATGTGGGCAGAAATATGCAGTGATGAAACAAAGTAAAAACACACATTGTTAAAATACTTAAGTATTTTTTGGGCGTATCTGTACTTTATTTGAGCTTTTATATTTCTGTCAACTTTCACTTTTACTCCAATACTTTTCTGTTTATTGGAGAATAAGCGTATGACACAAAATCGCACTACTCGCTTCATTTGCGCCATTTTACTCACATATTTTGCGTCATTTGCGTTGCATCTAATTGCATCTTTACATTGACTTTGCATGTAATTCACTTGCGCAAATTGTTTTATTCCTGCCCAGTGTGAACACAACACAACTGAATCATACATGTCTAGAAATGTTCTGTGATTATCCAGGCTGTTCTCACAACTTTTTTGTATGTTTTCCCACAAAAAGCAATGCACCCAAATTGGTATGCCACATATTTTGAAAGACTGCAATCACACGACCAATGCGCTGAAGGCAGTAAACAAGGAAGCAGTTCCAAGTGCTTGTAAGGAGGCAGGTAGGGGTGGTGGATGGATCACATCGCGTGCTCAGAACCGTGTGAACTTTGAGTCATTTTAAGGTATGTCCTCACCATGTTTCTTTTCCCAAATCTAACCCCTGTAACTTAAAGTTAATTTCATAACTGTACATTAGGACGTGACGTCATTTGTGGGGCGCAAATTTGTAGGATATCATATGAACCGTACTACGAGAATACGTTGGATTATAACACCTTTCAAGTTTTTCTGATGATCTAAGTTTTAGGTTGTAGTAAAAAGACGCAATCCTATAGTTTATGTTAAACAAAACCCTCCTGTCTTCTGTCGTGTTGTCTTCTCGTACCTTCACAACAGTTCACAAAAGCAGATGTGAGATCTCACCTGATATTCCTTGTTGTTAGAAACACACACATCCTTAACCCCTGTGAAGGAAACAGACCGATTATAAATGCATGATAAATGTGCTGCATTAATCACAGTGGCAAAAAAGAAACCAGGCTCTGCAGTTACAGTTACAGTGACACTCACGGCAGGAGGTGATGTGACAGCAGACTCCCTGAGTGGTGATCAGCTCAAAACCAGGAGGACAGGACGGCGCAGCAGGGCAGAGCCTCCCATCACACTCTGTTCAGAGACATAGATGGAGGAATGAACGAGGGTGGAGGAACTCTTTCACTGGGACACAAGTTCAGAACAAGGGGCGGAGAAAACAGAAAACCAAAATATGACTTCAAAATACAGAGATGCCGATTCGTATGGGACTTATAGTATCTGTCTATCTATCTGTGTCTGGTGAAATATGGCAGGTAATTTCCAGGGGAGTTTTTACCTGACAAATTATGGACATGGCAGATTTGCATAGGATTAAGATCACAGACTACCTCCGCAATTATTAAAAATGATTAGAAATTAGGTGTTCCCAGGTAATACTAGTCCAGTGTGAGTGGGGCTTTAGTTAATAATGGAGTCAACAATTTTTGTGAAACTGGTCCAGTATTGAGTGAGACCACTGCAGCCACAGCGGTGAAACAGGCTGCAATGAAATCCCAACGGGCAATTGTGCACCATCAATTGATGTCTATCACAAGTGCCTTTTTTGCCAGATTGTTATTAGAAGTGTCTGACAACATTATGGAAAGGATTGCACGGAGAAATGTAAGTAGCTTATTGTTATCCAAAAGATTTTCGGTGTCATGGTTGAATTTTGAGCAGATTTAAACAGTCCGTGAGATTTCAGAACAAGACTTCTCCTTGAGAGAGACTTGGTGACACACACTAGCAAAGGTAAGAAAAATGTTTTATGTCTCTTTAGGGTCTTTTCCATAATAATGTGTGACAATTATAATAACAAGCTGAGCCTGTCAGTGGTAAAAACAAGCACCTATAGTGGACTGAAATTAATGGTGCACACTTGCCCCTGAGGGATATGTTCAAGACTCTTGTAAAAAAAAAAAAAAAGGGATGGACTACACACTGTGTTAAATATATCATTGCAGTATACCGTACAGAGTGTATTGATTCCAGTACTAGGTCCTGCCACCTTCTCTGTGCTCTCTTACCGCACTTCTCCTTCTTACAGCAGCCATCAGTTTCAATGACCTTGACCTGACCCTCGTGGTCACAGCTGAGAGGCGGCAGTGCTGGACAGGACATAGGACGGCAGATGGACTGCAGTGTGTCCTCATCACATATACACTCGTTACAGCCTTCTGTCCATGTTGAGTTGGCCTGAGGACACAGTGTTTATTACAGAATTATGGCAGGAGGCATAGAATAGTTAGTTCTGACTGGCTTGTCAAAAGGTTACAGAAAAAGACAGCGCAGACAAATCATTTACCTTTTTCCATTTTCCATTTGGCAGCCGACAAATTTCTGTAAGGAGAAAGATATAAAGCATAAAGTCATTTTCATTCATCGGGACTTTGGTCATCCTGTGAACTAAATTGAGTGTTTCTGCTCAGCTTGCACGTTCACATCCTTTAAATCACAATTAAAAATCCTTTTTCTGATTTTTTTTTAAAGCATGTTTTACTATTATTTTTCCACTTTATATCCTAAACATTGGTTTACCATTAAACCTGGATTAACACCCACTTCTAAGGAATTGCGCTGTGTAGTAAACAAGGGTAGCTGTAGTTTGTATGTTACGTACTTTAAGACTGCCAGACTCAGACTCCAGCTACATTGATGGTTTCAGTCTCAGCTTTCCTAAATCACTGCTTGTCTAACTCCACCTGAAGCTGAATATGTTTTGTTTACAGACTAAAAGAGGTGAAGCAGAAACGTGTGTGTGTGTGTTATGTGTGCAGGCCACTACTTATGAGGAAAAAGGTGACAGTTTTGAATGTTTATTTAAAGGAGCTTGAAACAGTGTTCAGAGTGTATCCATGACTCAGAGGTTGTCTGCACACGGCTCTCAATGCAGAGGTGGCAACCCGTGGGTAACCGGCGGGGTGGGCGTTATGCTTGCCCTGATGATGCCATCCCAATGTCAGCGGGAACCACCAGTGGGGTACACACACAGGGACTCACTAGTAACATGCACGTGGCTGGACCGTCTACACCTGGGATACTCAACTTGCTTTGCACAGGAGCCACTTTTGCAAAATGATAGGAGTCCAGGGGCCGGTCGCAGCAGCACGCATATGTATGTAGGAGTGTTTCTAAGATTTGCAGACAGTCTCTACACCTGCCAACCAAATTGCAACGCAGAAGAAAACACACCTCTACAGCTAGCTCACCTAGCACCACTGCACTAGCTAACGTTAAAGCTCAGCTGGGGAAGAAGTGATATATGTTTAGATCTCGCGCTTTCATTAGAAAGAAAATAGTTCCTACATGAAACTGCTCACAAGGTCTGGGGATTATCTTGAGTAACCAGGTCATGATTTCTGGAAAGAGACTTTGCTGTTGAGCTTTTCAAATGTTTTTTTTTTTGTGTGTTTGTTTGTTTTTTTGATTTTTTTTTTGGCGTTTTGAGCCCCACGAGCCGAGTGCCATCTAGTTCCATTATATTGGAGTGAAGACAGAAGTCTCTATGGCCGGTATCTCCAACACTTGGCAACTCACCAAAACTATCTACACTGATAAGTAGCACTACAGGTAAGAGGAAAAATATGTATTTTGATTTTGGGATGAACTGTCCCTTTAAAGATAGAAACAGATTGTTGTCATTTTAAAAACACAAACATTAATTGTGGATGAGGCGCAGACCTGGGCTTATGGCGTCAAAGCTGCCCTCTGCCCCCTCAATTTCCTCTTCACTACCGGACACTAACTGATCCATAAACTTGTGATTTTGATGATAGAATAACAGATGATTTTGACTGCAGCACATTCTTGAATCCAACATATTTACACCCTCACAAGCAGTCCAATAGAAAAGTCATGCAGCAGTGCTCTTACCACAGGTGGGCACACATTCATTGGAGCTGGAAGAGAGGAGGTAGGTGCCCGGCGGGCAGTAGCAACCCTCCAGTTTCATATTCAGCATGACACTGAACTGATTGACAGTATTGATGAACTTCTGGTTGTACCTGTAGAAACAACACAACACTGTGTGAAGGCAACACTCTGATGTTGTGTGCAAGCCAAAGCATAATTGAACGAAAATGGTTTGACTGTGAGGAGCATCATCAACATGTGGGTGAGCTGCTGTACCAAGAATCACAGGTGTTCTCCACCAGAGGGCCACAGGCCTGATACACTTTGGGACTCGCACAGGTATAATCTATAAAGAGAGAAGAAATATGGGGCTTTTTAGTTGAGGTTATGCTGTGATGTTGCTGGTCAATTAAAAGTAAAAGTAATAGCGATTGGCTTTAACATTATTTTGGATGCATACTGCAGAGTCCTTTGGTGGCACTCCTCCAGTCGACACACACTCCAGCTTCAGCACAGGAGTCAGCATACATTTGTAAGCTGGTGCAGCCGATGTGCTTGATGTGCATGTGGCAAATGTCCGACTCACAGGCCTTGATGAATGGACTGTAGCCAATGAGCTTGTGGCACTCTTCAAAGACACTGAGGAAGCGTGGATTTATGCACATTATGAAGACATGGTGTGTATATTTTAATGTCTGCCCCAAACATGACAAGGTGTTAAGTTTGAACTTCCTTTCAGACATGTTTTCCCCTTTTCCTCCTACCTGCTTTTGATGATATCACAGATGGTTGTATCACAGGGAGTAGGTGTAGGTGATGGTGCTGGTGTTGGTGTTGGTGTTGGGTGAACGACTTCACAGCCACCATCGTGCCACTCGTGTGCCATACCGGGACATGAAGGATCAATTTTGCCACTGGGCAACATGCAGTCGTCTGTACGGTTGTTGTCACATGTGCCTAGAGAAACCCCCCATCGTCAGTAAAACGATGTCACAACTCAAGACAGTCCTGTACTGCCTTGTTCCTGCTGAGTCACTATGCAGAGGCCACTTTAATGTGAGCTGTTTTCTTTTCAACAATTAATCATACTGATGGCAGAAAATGTCAGAAAAGAGTAATAGGTTGTGTTTGTTGTAATTACTAGGTACACAGAATATTCAACCTCTTTAGGCATGCATGTCATTTATCAACTGATGTCTAGACTACATTCAGTAAGATTAAGGATGTAACGCTTCCCAAACCAAAACCGAACCTGTGATACAAATGTCCACGGTCTGCGTGTCACAGTTCTTTCTTTTGTGTTGCGGTTTTTCCCCACCTCTATCCATCTATCTCTATCTTGCAGAGTGATGAAATGGAGCTTTCAGAATATTTGCTAATAACCCTAAGATTGCAGTCGCCCCAAGCAAATTCAAATCAGCAATGTGGGAAGATTTTGGTTATCCAGTGGAGTATAGGAATGGCAATTATGTCATCACTAAAACACACACACACACACACACACACAAAGTGTTAAAAGTGTTCCAAAAAACTTCCCCAGCGGCAGGCAAAACTTAAAAAACGCTAGCACATATCCAAAGACATCATTCCAACATTGATATCAGCGGTGCACCAAAGAAACCCAAACAACAGCAGGTAAGTCTTACCAATATCTTGAGACGCATGTTTCAAGCTAACTCGGTCCATGCTTAAGCAATTACATTATTCTTTGCTTTAACTACAGATAGGTCGACCTCTCGTGCAACAGAGAACTTCATCACAATCACGGCAGACTACATTACAGAAAACATAGCTGAGCATCTTACTCAGGAGGTGGCAGCGTTAGCTAACACAGCACAACCTATACTGCTACTGCCTCACTGCTGCCAGCACCTCATTGTCATTTTGTCAAGACTTAAATCCTCGTGGCTTAAGTCTGCATGCTTCTGTGTCATATGTAAAGAATGGTCAGTTACAATCCAACCATCCATCCATTGTCATCCACTTATCTGGGGCCAGGTCATGGGGGCAACAGGCCAAGCAAAGAACCCCAGACGTCCCTCTCCCCAGCAACGCTCTCTGGCTCTCTCAAGGTGTTCCCAGACCAGATGAGATATCTAATCCCTCGATCGTGTTCTGGGTCTGCCCCGGGGCCTTTTACCTGTGGGATGCGCCCAGAACACCTGTAATCAGATGCCTGAACCACCTCAACTGACCCCTTTTGACACAAAGGAGCAGCGGCTCTACTCCGAGCTCCCTCTGGATGTCCGAGCTCCTCACCCTATCTCTAAGGCTGAGCCCAGACACCCCACGGAGGAAACTTGTTTCGGACGCTTGTATCTGCGACCTCATTCTTTCGGTCACTACCCAGAGCTCATGACCATAGGTGAGGGTTGGGACGTAGATGGACCAGTAAATCAAAAGTTTTGCCTAACAGCGCAGCTCCCTCTTCACCACGACAGTCCGGCACAGTGCCCACATCACTGCAGACGCCACACCAAACCGCCGATCCATCTCATTCATTCTACCCTCACTCGTGAACAAGACCCTGAGAAACTTGAACCAGTTACAGTGTATGATTTAATTTGTCATTAATGCTTATGGAACAAGTAATTCTACCTTGGTGTGTTTGTGTACTTAAAGTTGATTTAATAAAACCCACATTTTATGAATCGTGGCTTAAAACGTTAAAACCTTAAATCGTTACACCCCTGAGTAAGATGCTATTCATTTCTAATGCAGGACTTACCACACTGTCCCCAGGTGTTGCCGCTGAATTTGCTGTAGGGCAAGGAGATGCTGAATATGAGGCCTGAGAAGGTGATCCTGGCTCCGATTTTAGGGATGACGAGCACTGTGTCAATACCGGTGGTGGCTATACGGAAGTCAGCATTCTGGTATGCAGGACTTACACGCTTGTCATTCACAGTAATCTAAAACAAAAAGGATGTACATGTTATAAATAACCCTTAACAAACTTTGTAAGTTTTCATTGCACCTACAGTCAGCCCTTCTTTGGACAGTTTTACAAATTGGGATCTTGTCAGGTATGCATTTGCACTGAGGGAAAAAAGGGGAGTCGATGCTCAGATAAGAGTTTGAATTAAAAATGGAGAAAGTTAACAGTGCCATTTAATTACCTCATTTATGAAAGTGCTATTGATATGCCTCTGTGTGATAAAGATCCTGAAGTTTTGGTAAAAGACAGTGATGGCCTTAGGACAGGACAAGCCGTCAGCTGCACCACAGTATTGGTTATAGATGGAAACACTGAAGTTGTATTTGGGGTCGATCTCTTTCACCAGCCAGTAGGAACAGTTGCCTTGAAAACCATAGTAGGTTCCATCGAAGGTGACATAATGAGGGTCTCCCCAGCCGTAGCAGATACCTTAAGATACATATATTGCATTTTTAAAATGACTTTTTAAGTCATCTGGTATCAAAGCAAAATATAAAGGTAAAATGCATTTGCATGTTCAACCCTGCAAAATTTTACAGTGGGTCATACTTACATTGGCATTCATAGTGGTAGCAGCATCCATCATCATCGTACACTTTTACAGGAGCGAAGTTATTTGCACACACTACAGGCTTTGGAGTTGGACAAACGAGCGGTGTATGGGTCACATTGCCATTAACACATGTTCCTACACGACAGTCTTTCTCTTTCCAGCTTTCACCATCCTGTGAAGGCAATCATGGATTGGAATTTAAGAAAAAAGAAAAAGTGGTCACTGTCAAAGAATAACATATCAATTAGTCATCCAAAACCCATATTTCAAATGTATTGATAAATTTTAGGGATTGAGCAGTGCTGCTTAACAAAGTTAAAAGTGTGTGTGTATAATGGAAATTAAAGAGGCACCTGTCGTGGAGGTGTTAGATAAGAACACCCTATCCCTACAGGACATTTGTGGTGTCTAGGTTCAACGACGCAGTTGTGATTGCAGTATCCTGTGTAACAGTAGCCATCTTCGTCTGTCTCATTGTAGACGAAAGAGCCTGAAAATGATGCACAGGAAGATTGATGAAAAAGAGTGTCACATATCACATATGTGATATTATATCACACAGATACATGCACGATATATACACCGATGAGCCAAAACATTCAAACCACTGACAGGTGAAGTGAATAACTTTGATTATTGTGTTCCAATGCATTGTTCTCCTGAGAAACCTTTGGTTCTGGCATTCACGTGGATGACATGTTCCACCCACTCAAACACCGTTACATACCAAGTACCCCCCCTCATGGCAACAGTACTCCCCAATGGCAAAAATGATTAAAGGAAAACTACAGTTGATTACAACCTTGGTTTCATTACCATAAAAAACTGGTGGACACAACCTCTTAACACCGAATTGCGTGGTGGTGGGCACAACATGTATTTAAAAAAAACAACAAAAAAAAAACGCTATTACCAAGGGTTGCAGTTTCGTTGTGAAACAGTAGCAGTTTGGTTAGGGTTAGAAAAGAAAAAAAAACTTGGTTAGCTTTAGAGAACAAAAAATACTTTGTTAAGTTGAGGAAGAGGTCAGTTAAAATAACTATGTACGGGTTGTAAGTGACGTAAACTAACTTACTTTGCATCGTCATGGGAAGTACCTATGTGAAGTACTTTGTGTAGTTACATAAAGTGACATAACAACACTGACATTTGGTTTCACACAGGACATGAACAGCAGTCACCTGATTAAAAGTCTGTGTTTGTTTGACCCATCCACAACCCTTCCCAGCCACCCTATGTGAACCTTCTTATTCTTGATACTTAATTTGTGTGTAGACCAAAACAAAAGATCGTAATTCACTTTGCTTCAGCATTGTTTTCGTGTTGGCAGCATATTATTTCAACACATTTTGTGTTCACCACTACATAATGCATTGTTGAGACTTTGTGTACAAGGAAGGCAATTTGTAAACTGTGAAGGTTGTTAACTATGGTCAAAATGTTTGCCCATTAACCTTCCTTTACTCCTCTGATTGTTTGATGGCTAAAGTTTCCTGCCCTGAATTGTTGTTCCAATGTCAACAGACTTTGTCAGAGCAACGAAAATAGAACCTTAAACTTAGGTTTTCGATGAGATTAATTGTTCAATAGAAATATCTGTCTAGTTAAGAATGGTTTGGAGTACGCTAGACTTAATGTATAAGTTGTGTTCTGAAATTCGCAGTGGTTTCTAAACGTAGATTCAGTAAGATTGTTATTCACGTCGGTGGCAATGACACCCGGTTACGCCAATCGGAGGTCACTAAAATTAATATTGCCTCGCTGTGTGAATATGCAAAAACGATGCCGGACTCCGTAGTTTTCTCTGGACCCCTCCCAAATCTGACCAGTGATGACATGTTTAGCCGCATGTCATCATTTAATCGCTGGCTGTCCAGGTGGTGTCCAGCAAACGATGTGGGTTTCGTTAATAATTGGCAAACTTTCTGGGGAAAACCTGGTCTTATTAGGAGAGACGGCATTCACCCCACTTTGGATGGAGCTGCTCTCATTTCTAGGAACCTGGCAAATTTTATTAGTAATTTAAATCCCTGACAACCCAGAGTTGAGACCAGGACTCAGAGTTGCAGTCCTAAACGCCTCTCTGAGCTTCTAGTTCAGTTACCCAGCCATAGTTTTCATAGTTTTATACAAACGGTGTCTGTCCCCCGACCACCTAAATTATTTAAATCTAAAATTAAACAAAGAGGAGTTGTGCATAACAACCTCATAAAAATTAAAACCTCTTCTGTGACAGAAAGACAAAACAGGAGAATTAAATGCGGACTGTTAAATATCAGGTCTCTATCGTCTAAAGCAGTGTTAGTAAACGAATTAATATCAGATAATCATATTGATTTACTCAGTCTCACTGAAACCTGGCTGTGTCAAGATGAATATGTTAGTCTAAATGAGTCCACTCCTCCCAGTCATAATAATACCCACATTCCTCGAGGCAGCGGCCGAGGAGGGGGAGTTGCAGCCATTTTTAACTCTAGTCTGTTAATCAGCCCTAAACCTAAACTAGATTATAATTCATTTGAAAGCCTCGTTCTTAGTGTTTTACATCCGACCTGGAAAACCTCGCAGCCACTTTTATTTGTTATAGTGTACCGTGCTCCTGGCCCGTATTCTGAATTTGTATCTGAATTCTCAGAGTTTTTATCCAGTTTAGTTCTTAAATCAGATAAAGTTATTATTGTAGGCGATTTTAACATTCATGTCGACGTTGATAATGACTCCCTGGCTACCGCGTTTATCTCATTAATAGACTCCATTGGCTTCAGTCAGGGTGTACATGAACCCACTCACTGTTTTAACCATACCCTCGATCTAGTTCTGACGTATGGAATTGAAATTGATAACCTAAAAGTCTTTCCACAGAATCCCTTGCTATCAGATCATTATCTGATTACTTTTGATTTCTTTTTACTCGATTACACGCCACTCAGCAACAGTTACTATACTAGATGTTTATCAGATAGTGCTGTCACAAAATTTAAGGAAAAGATTACTTCGTCGTTAAATTCAATACCAATACCTTCAGTAACAGAGGTTTCCCGTGCCGACTTTAACCTCTCCCAAATTGATCATTTTGTTGATAGCGCCGTAGGCTCGCTGCGAACAACGCTCGACTCTGTAGCTCCTCTTAAAAAGAAGTTAACAAAGCAAAGAAAGTTTGCTCCTTGGTATAACTCTCAAACCCGTAGGTTAAAACAAATATCGCGAAAATTTGAAAGGAATTGGCGATTAACCAAACTGGAAGAATCTCGTTTAATCTGGACAGACAGTCTCAAAACTTATAAGAGGGGCCTCCGCAATGCCAGAGCAAACTATTACTCAGCATTAATAGAAGAAAACAAGAACAACCCCAGGTTTCTTTTCAGCACTGTAGCCAGGCTGACTGAGAGTCAAAGCTCTATTGAGCCTTGTATTCCTTTAGCCCTTAGCAGTAATGATTTTATGAGCTTTTTTAATGACAAAATTCTAACTATTAGAGGCAAAATTCATGACCTCCTGCCCTCAGATGGTAGGCCTACCTATCTAACCTCAAACACAGCTGTAGAATCTAATATATATTTAGATTGCTTCTCCCCAATTTCTCTTCAAGAATTGACCGCAGTGATTTCTTCATCTAAATCATCAACGTGTCTCTTAGACCCCATCCCAACTAGGCTACTTAAGGAGGTCTTTCCTTTAGTTAACACTCATATATTAGATATGATCAATATATCCCTATTAACAGGCTATGTACCACAGTCTTTTAAGGTAGCTGTAATTAAACCTCTCCTAAAAAAGCCCACCCTGGATCCAGAGGTGTTAGCCAACTATAGACCAATATCTAATCTTCCCTTTATGTCAAAGATCCTTGAGAAAGTAGTCGCAGACCAGCTGTGTGATTTTCTCCAGGATAATAATTTATTTGAGGAATTTCAGTCAGGATTTAGAGTGCATCATAGCACTGAGACAGCTCTAGTTAAAATTACAAATGACCTTCTGATTGCTTCAGACAAAGGACTCGTCTCTGTTCTTGTTTTATTAGATCTTAGTGCGGCGTTTGACACAATTGACCATCAAATTCTACTGCAGAGACTGGATCACTTAATTGGCCTAAAAGGTTCAGCACTAAGCTGGTTTAAATCTTATTTATCTGATCGTTTTCAATTTGTTGACGTTCGTAATGAATCATCCTTACGTACCAAAGTTTGTTTTGGAGTTCCGCAAGGTTCTGTGCTCGGACCAATCCTATTTACTCTATATATGCTTCCTTTAGGTAACATCATTAGAAATCACTCTATAAATTTCCATTGTTATGCGGATGATACACAGTTGTATTTATCGATGAAGCCAGAAGAAAGTAATCAATTAACTAAACTCCATAACTGCCTTAAAGACATAAAAAATTGGATGAGCACCAATTTCCTGATGTTAAATTCAGACAAAACTGAAGTTATTGTTCTTGGCCCCAAACAACTCAGAGACTCTTTATCTGATGACATAGTTTCTCTAGATGGCATTGCTCTGGCCTCTAGCACTACCGTAAGAAACCTCGGAGTAATATTTGATCAAGATTTGTCTTTTAATTCTCATTTAAAGCAAACCTCACGGACTGCATTTTTTCATCTGCGTAATATTGCGAAAATTAGGCCTATCCTGACCCGAAAAGATGCAGAAAAATTGGTCCACGCTTTTGTTACCTCAAGGCTGGATTACTGTAACTCTCTATTATCAGGTAGCTCTAGTAAGTCCTTAAAAACTCTCCAGCTAATTCAGAATGCAGCAGCACGTGTACTAACAGGAACTAAGAAACGAGATCATATTTCTCCTGTTTTAGCTTCTCTGCACTGGCTCCCTGTAAAATCCAGAATTGAATTTAAAATCCTACTGTTAACTTATAAAGCTCTAAATGGTCAAGCTCCGTCATATCTTAGAGAGCTCATAGTGCCATATTATCCCACCAGAACACTGCGCTCTGAGAACGCAGGGTTACTCGTGGTCCCTAAAGTCTCCAAAAGTAGATCAGGAGCCAGAGCCTTCAGCTATCAGGCTCCTCTCCTGTGGAATCATCTTCCTGTTACGGTCCGGGAGGCAGACACCGTCTCCACATTTAAGACTAGACTTAAGACTTTCCTCTTTGATAAAGCTTATAGTTAGGGCTGGCTCAGGCTTGCCCTGTACCAGCCCCTAGTTAGGCTGACTTAGGCCTAGTCTGCCGGAGGACCCCCTATAATACACCGGGCTCCCTCTCTCTCCCTCTCTCTCTCTCTCTCTCTCTCTCTCTCTCTCTCTCTCACTCTCATCCTATTACTGCATCTTGCTAACTCGGCCATTCTGGATGTCACTAACTCGGCTTCTTCTCCGGAGCCTTTGTGCTCCACTGTCTCTCAGATTAACTCATATCGCAGCGGTGCCTGGACAGCGTGACGTGTGTGGTTGTGCTGCTGCCGTGGTCCTGCCAGATGCCTCCTGCTGCTGCTGCCATCATTAGTCATTAGTCATACTTCTACTGTTATTATACACATATGACTATTGTCACACATGTATACTGCCAGATATTAATACATACTTTCAACATATTGTACCACAGTAGCCAGAACTATAACTATAATATTATTACTTTCAATAATGTTGTTGTAAGCTACTGTCATTACCTGCATCTCTCTCTCTCTCTCTCTCTCTCTCTCTCTCTCTCTCTCTCTCTCTGTCTCATTGTGTCATATGGATTACTGTTAATTTATTATGCTGATCTGTTCTGTACGACATCTATTGCACGTCTGTCCGTCCTGGAAGAGGGATCCCTCCTCAGTTGCTCTTCCTGAGGTTTCTACCGTTTTTTTTCCCCGTTAAAGGGGTTTTTTTGGGGAGTTTTTCCTTATCCGCTGCGAGGGTCATAAGGACAGAGGGATGTCGTATGCTGTAAAGCCCTGTGAGGCAAATTGTGATTTGTGATATTGGGCTTTATAAATAAAATTGATTGATTGATTGATTGATCGATTGAAATAAATGTGATCCCGGACTACCCTAACTCCCTGCTGGATCAGCCAACTTTCTGTTGCTGCCATTACATAGGTTAGATACGGCGCTGAAGGATCGTCTCTGGAGCTGCTCTCCTCCTGGCAAACAGTCTGCCCCGTTAGTTAGACCTACCACAGCAGCAGCAGCAGCAGCAGCTGTTAAGTGGTCCCGAAATACTCACACTGACCCTTAATTTGGCAGTCTCCTAGCACTGGGGAGTTGGAGGGACTGGGGGGTGCGCTAGCCTGCTAAATCTTGTCTCATAATTAAACAGAGAAGAAAAGAAAATGGAGGCAAGGTGGGGCATGCAGCTCAACAACCAAACAGATTTTACCCATTTTAAATAATTTAAATAAATAAATAAATAAATAGCAAAGTCATGTTCAGCTGCACCCGCCTTCCAATGCCCCCCACCCCTGGCCGGAGCTTTGAATATTCTCTGTTGATTACTACGAAAGCTCTGGAGCCCAAAAAATTGTATTCAGGGTAGCCCCAGTCTTTACTAATCAGAACTTACCAGGAGGGAAGACTATACCATTATGAATACAATGGCAAAGTCTCCCAGTAGATGGTTGGCTGGTTCCTCCTGTCACTACTGGTTCTTCAGTTGTGGTAGAAGTTGTCGTGATTGTAATAGTAGTTGTAGGTGGTCGAGTTGTAGTTGTTGTTTCAGTTGTGGTAGATGGTGTGGTCGTTGTAGTTGTTGAAGTAGTTGGACTTGGAGCTGTAGTGGAAGGAGTTGGTGGACACCCACAGCATTTGAATTTAATCTCATAATCCAAACACTGTCGCTGAAGGCCTTGGTCTTTGTTGATGCAGATAAAACCAACATCTTTTTTGCAAGTCACAGATTGACCCAACTGTGAAATGGAAACATTTGGTTGAGAAACAGCTCTACACTTGACTTCTTCAGGAGCCGGGCATCCATGACCAGAGGAACTTATGCTGTGGATGGTTTTATCATATCCACCATCAGGGCCAGGTGTGGGCTTGCCAAGATTGATCCAATCAGTCCAGCCACATGTCATATCATGTCCTCCAGGGCAAGGTGTAGTTGTAGGTGGCCGAGTTGTAGTTGTGGTAGAAGGCGTAGTTGTAGTAGTTGTGGGAGGTTGAGTTGTTGTTTCAGTTGTGGTAGAAGGTGTGGTGGTTGTAGTAGTTGTTGAGGTTGTTGGAGTTGGTGTGGTGCTTGTAGTTGTTTCAGTTGTGGTAGATGGTGTGGTCGTTGTAGTTGTTGTAGTTGGAACTGTAGTGGAAGGAGTTCGCGTTGGACACGCACAGCATTTAAATTTAATCTCATACTCAAAACACTGTTGGTTCTGCCCTTGTTGTTTGTTGATGCATTTGAGACCAACATCTTTGTTGCAAGTCACATTTTGACCCAACTGTGACATGGGTAATTTTTCGTACATAACAGCTCTACACTGGACTTCATCAGGAGCCGGGCATCCATGACCAGAGGAACTTATGCTGTGGATGGATTTATCATATCCACCATCAGGGCCA